GAGGCATGTCGTTTTTTTCTTAGTCAAGGCTTCAGAAAGAAAGAAAGAAAAAGAGAAAGAAAGAGAGAAAGAGAAAAAAAGAAAGAAAGGAAGAAAGAAAGAGGAAGGGAAGGAGGGAGGAAAAGAAAAAGTAAGCTATTAATAACACCTCCTACCCAGTTCCCTCACTCCCTTTAGATGAAGTCAAGGTACATTTTGGTGTTGCCTGACCCTTTAATTACAGATGTAATTACAGGACAAACAGATATTTAGCTTAAGCAACTTTCATTTATTGGTAAATTGCCTAGCTGATAGTTATAAATAGAACATCTCTCATTACTTACATTTTTTTTAGGAAAAAATCTATAGAGAGATAATAAAAGAGACAGATAGATGGATAGATAGATAAATAGAATATGAGAGAATCTTGTATCTCTGAACTAGTTAAGATACCTCAACTAATTCCTCTTTTTGGAACGAAGTGCTAGCCATCTTAGGCACCTTCTTCTGGGCCTCTTCCTTCTTGGATGCCGAATTGAAAGTAGGATCCATTCATTCACTAATTCTTTCATTCGTTCATCACACACATATTTATCAAATACCTATGCCAGTGTGTCTTACATTTTGGTATTTATTGGATTACTCAGGTGTTTGTTAAAAATACAAGTCCTACCATAGTCCTGTTGAATCTCCAAGGGGTAGGTTCCAGAAATTTGATTTCTAGAAAGCCTGTTTTAGGTATGTTCTAGAAATACAAAGATGAACAGAACAGTCCTTTCCCCTTACTATACTATCATATAAGTGAACAGGGGAGCTAGTGCAATGGAAGTTCACCCAAGCCATGAAAAAAATATGTATGGGAGCCCATGAGAGGGAGTTGTGACTTCCATCAAGGGGAGGACATTATCAGTACTGTGGCGTTGGCTCTCCATCAGGCTGGCCATGGGGAAATGCTCAGTCTTGTGCAGAGTATACTTGATGCTTCCTCCCATGCGGTACATCAGATGTGGAATGAAGGAACACGTCTGGCCCTATGTGTCCTGCTCTAGCAGCCACACAATGGATTAGGAGGAAAAGAATATAGGGAGGATCTGACAGCTCGTCAACACTCTCATTTCTGATGAATCTCTTGCAGGTTTCCTTTTGTCAGTGTGGTAGAGGACAGACACCCACAGAAAGGCAGTTAGAAAGCTCAGTGGGCTTAAAATCAGGAAACCTCGGGTCCAGATCTGGCCCTGCTACTTCTTAGCTGAATACCCTACTTAGCCTCTCTCTCTGTGCCTTGTTTTCCCCAGCTGTAAAGGCAGGTCATATCTACACTATAGGGTTGTTTTGGGGAATTATATAAAATGTATATAGTACATAAACTGCTCAGCATTGTGCCTGGTATGGGGTTAGTGCTAATAAACAGTATTTATTTTTATTAATAGTAGCAATAATGATGGACCCCCACTTGTATGCCCAGAGGTGACTCCTCAAGCCACGAAAGTCAACCTCCATATTGCAGTGGCTCTCGCCTGTTCTGCCTCAGATCCCTGAGGGCTGTGATACCCGCCTTGGCTGTCCCATTGGCCCACCAGGGCAGTGATCCTCAATCTGGAGCATATTCTCGTAGCTCAGATTGGCTTGCTGAAAGTGTTCAGGGCATTTGGCCGCTCCCTCCCTGCCCCCACCAAGACAGTTGCTCCTCACTCCTGCCCCAGAGGTGTATTGCTTAGGCAGTGAGTCTTGAGTGTGCTTGTTAGCACCTGCCAAGCAACCTTTTCAAATACACATGCTACATCCCACCCAAGACCTGATGAATCATAATTGTGCCGTGGAGCACTGATAAGTGTCTTTGACATTCCCAGGCAATGCTGCTATACAGGCCTGGTTAAGAAGTACTGTCTTTGTGGATTTCTCTCTGCTCATTGCTGTCTCATTCAGCTAGCGCAGCACTATATGTTCTAGCAAAAAATAATGGTGCCCACTTAGCTTTTTAAGCTCAGATAGACTGACCCTATGCGTTGAACTAAGGAGGCAGAGCCTCTGGTGATAAGGTTCATGTACAAGAAGAAGGAGGAAGAACTCTGCAGGTGAAGGGCTCTGGACACAGCCCGGGACAGGATCATATGAGGTACTTCGCCAAAGCCGGTAAGTGTTGTATGCTGGTCTCAGAGACCTTAGTTCCTTGAAAGACCTGTTTTCATTTTATAGAAGAGACTCCAAACCCAGGAATTAAGGAACTGACTGGCTGTTTGGGAAGCGTTCAGAAAATGTGACAAGAGGTGTCATACGCAGGCTAGAAGCAGAGATCCAAGAAAGGAAAATACTTCGGCCTGGGTTTTCACTTTCCTTCTTGCTTCTGAAATGAGACTGGGAGAACAGCTGCGTGTTTGCAGCGGATAGGGAGATGTGTAGCCCTGCCCATCTAGGACTCCCTCCCTAAATTCTGTGAACAACACCTCGAGCCCCAGACTGCCTCGGCCTTGGATTTTTGTCTCTCTCATCATTCATACTTGAAGTTAGGGGCTCCTGGTTGCTGTGCAAAAATAAGTGTATTCACCTGGGCAACCAAGCCTGTGCCATGATTCTGCCCCCTGCCAGGAGACTCAGAGCTGAGATTTGAGCAGAAGATGGGAAGTGATGAGCTCAACAGAGGGAGGAAATTCTGTCTTCTCAGCTTCCTTTAGATCCTCCAGAAAAGAGCCTTCTGGCTCCTCGGAATTAAGACTGGTAGAGGAGGTCACCCGACTGGATCAGAGATGGGGAGATAAAAGTACTGAAGTCAAATGAGACATCTGTGAAGTACTTTGAAAAAATATAGTCCTCCTATGTGCGCCCAGAGCAACTATTTCAATGACTGTATCACTGGTGCAGGCTGTACACATCAGCTGGGACTGAATGTGATGCTCACTGCCCGCCCTGCATTCATCCCGATCCCCGAGCCAGACCTGAGCCTGCACCCTGCCGCACAGAGAGGTGATCTGCTGGATCTTGAACTTCCAGCTTAGGTGGTTGCATAAGGTATTCTGCTTAATCGGGTCCTTCAATAAGGCGACTTTTCTTTACCTTCTCTGTTAATCTCTCCTGTTAACAGTTCCTATCTTCCTGGGCTTACCCTTAAACTGCCTGCTGATTTGAAACATGCAGATAGCACAAAACAAACTGGTACTCTAGCAATTGTTGAGATCTATTGTAGGGCAACCAGCATGCCGAGAAAAACTAGCCATTCACCTGGCTCCATGCTATTCCTGTCAGAAAGAACATGGAAAAGATTCTCTCCTCTTTTGACCAGCACCCCCCTCCTTAACTAAAAGACCGTGTGTATGCATCTGGAATGGGGGGGTTTGGAGTCCAGCTTTCCTGCCTCCACAAAGACAAAATGGTTCATAGCAGGCTAGAACTGGGCCATCATTAGGGGAAACTCCAGGCCTCTGGGATCTGAGGGAACGGTGGGCCGTGCCTTGGCCAGGATGGGATGCCAGTCCCGGGCTCGGATGGCCGGCTGCGCCCTTCCCAACGTGACTTTCTCAGGCGAACTCCCACTCCCGACACACAACGTGTATGCTTTAGGAAGATTTCTGCAACGTGACAAAGTGCAACTTAAAATCTGGCTTCTCCTTTCCTGAGCTCGGACCCAAACTTGTCCTGAAATAGGAGAAGGCGCTGTAGGCAAAGGACTGCAGAGGCGGAAGCAAGCGCCCGGCGTGGCCGCCGTGGCGACGAGCTGCCAGCAGGTGTCAGTGCGCCCTCGCTCAGTCGTGGAGCGTGGCCGCCGCCTCCGGGACCCCTCCTCACCGCTGTGGAAGGGGGCGCGGTCCGGACCCCCGGCCGCCTGTGTCCCGCACACACCTCTGTGATTCAGACCACACGTGGCCTCCTCTCCCCGGATCGGATCTCTGGCCTCGGGCGGGTCCCGCTCCCCGGGGGGTACTTCCTAATTCCGCCCCAGGGGGTTCGAGGCGAACGCGTGCCTTCCTTCTCACCAGCACCCCGCTCGCCTCGCCGCCAGGACCAGGCTGCTTCGGATGCTCCTGGTACCGGTGTTTGCTGCTCCCGATTCGGGCCAGGGTCCCCAACTCTCTTCCCTCCCAGGACCCAGCTCGATGGGGGCACTCCCCGGGGCCCGCTGCTTTCTGCTGGGCCGGCCCGGAGCTGCTCGGCCAATTCCCAGCCGAGGCCGCTCCCACTCCCTGGGCACGCTCTTTAAACCCCTCGCTGCAGGTACCCGCCTCTCCAAAGAGCCAGTCCGGCCAGGGGGCCAGCGCTCCCCAAGGTCCCACGCGGAGCGCGAGCTCTAGACCCGCGGAGGGGAGGCGCAAGGGGCGGGGGAGGGTCGGTTTCCCACGTGGGGGCTGACGCCGGCTGCTCCGCAACGCCAGCTTGATCCTGGGGCTATAAAACCAGTCCACGGTGAGCGCGCCCGAGCAGCAGCGGCCCGGGCTTCTCTGCAGACGCCCAGCAGCCGGCGCGCCGCCGCCCGGCCACCCCCAGCACCTTCTTCCCCTAGCCCTGCGTTCCTGCCCCAACTCACGCTGCCCTCGGACCCCGGCCCGTCCGGCTGCACTCAGCGCCCGCCGCTCGCCGGGCCAACGCCCAGGAGACCCTGTGTCTCGGCCGCTGCTCCGGGAGGGCCGATCGCCCACCTGCCCCGGCCCACCTGAGGACGGGGGCGTCTTCATGCGGCCCGCACACGGCTCGCCCCGCCGCCGCCCCCGAGCTCCGCGCGCTGAGCCCCAGCCCCAGCTGGGCACGCAACTTTGGAAGTCCGGCGGCGCTCCGGGAGAGGCGGCAGAGTCCGCACCCCGGCCCCAGCCCGCGTCCGGCCGGCACCGCCGCGTCTGGGGGAAAGCGAGGGAGTCGGTAATCGCTGCTTCGGGGATGTAAGAAGACAGACCTAGGACCCCAGGCCCGCATCAGCGCCCCTCGGCTGCCTCCCGGGGTGGGGGCGGGCCCCGCACACGGTAAGACCTCTTGCTTTCGCTCAGGCTCGAGAGTCAAGATAGAGATAGATTTTAAATTTTCTGTCATCTCTCCAAGTGATCAGGCCACCGATGATTTCTGTTCTCCCTTCTTGAAGAATAAATCTCCCTTTCCCCATCGGCTCGACCTACTCTCTCCCGCCGCTTAGAAATAAAACTTGTGCTGAGCTGGGCAGGAGAAGGCGCCCACCACGAGCGCCACAAGCGCAGGCCGGGCGCCTTTCGCGGGAGCCGGGCCCATGGGCTGCTAGCGCCCCCCCCCACCCCCCGGCAGCTCGGGCCGGCGTCCCTGCGGCCCCCTCCCCATGTGAGGCGCGGCAGGGCGACCGGGGCGCGGGAGGAAGAGGAGGACCCACGGGCGCCGGGCCGGAAGGCAGCTGGCAGCAGGCCCAGGCGAGCGGGCACCCGCGTTCATGTTCCGCCAGGAGCAGCCGCTGGCCGAGGGCAGCTTCGCGCCCATGGGCTCCCTGCAGCCGGACGCGGGCAACGCGAGCTGGAACGGGACCGAGGCGCCAGGGGGCGGCGCCCGGGCCACCCCTTACTCCCTGCAGGTGACGCTGACGCTGGTGTGCCTGGCCGGCCTGCTCATGCTGCTCACGGTGTTCGGCAACGTGCTTGTCATCATCGCGGTGTTCACAAGCCGCGCGCTGAAGGCGCCCCAGAACCTCTTCCTGGTGTCTCTGGCCTCGGCCGACATCCTGGTGGCCACGCTCGTCATCCCTTTCTCGCTGGCCAACGAGGTCATGGGCTACTGGTATTTCGGCAAGGCGTGGTGTGAGATCTACCTGGCGCTCGACGTACTCTTCTGCACCTCGTCCATCGTGCACCTGTGCGCCATCAGCCTGGATCGCTACTGGTCCATCACGCAGGCCATCGAGTACAACCTGAAGCGCACGCCGCGCCGCATCAAGGCCATCATCGTCACCGTGTGGGTCATCTCGGCCGTCATCTCCTTCCCGCCGCTCATCTCCATCGAGAAGAAGGGCGGCGGCGGCGGCCAGCAGCCGGCCGAGCCGCGCTGCGAGATCAACGACCAGAAGTGGTACGTAATCTCGTCGTGCATCGGCTCCTTTTTCGCGCCCTGCCTCATCATGATCCTGGTCTACGTGCGCATCTACCAGATTGCCAAGCGCCGCACCCGCGTGCCGCCCAGCCGCCGGGGTCCGGACGCCGCCGCCGCGCCGCCGGGGGGCGCCGAGCGCAGGCCCAATGGCCTGGGCCCGGAGCGCGGCGTGGGCCCCGTGGGCGCCGAGCCCGAGCTGCTGCCCGCCCAGCTCAACGGTGCCCCGGGGGAGCCCGCGCCGGTCGGGCCGCGCGACGCTGACGCGCTGGACCTGGAGGAGAGCTCGTCGTCCGAGCACGCCGAGCGGCCCCCGGGGCCTCGCAGGTCGGAGCGCGGCCCCCGGGCCAAGGGCAAGGCCCGGGCGAGCCAGGTCAAGCCCGGGGACAGCCTGCCGCGGCGCGGGCCGGGGGCCACAGGGCCCGGGGCGTCGGCGGCGGGGCCCGGGGAGGAGCGTGGCGGGGGCGCCAAGGCGTCGCGCTGGCGCGGGCGGCAGAACCGCGAGAAGCGCTTCACGTTCGTGCTGGCCGTGGTCATCGGCGTGTTCGTGGTGTGCTGGTTCCCCTTCTTCTTCACTTACACGCTCACGGCCGTGGGCTGCTCCGTGCCGCGCACGCTTTTCAAGTTCTTCTTCTGGTTCGGCTACTGCAACAGCTCGCTGAACCCAGTCATCTACACCATCTTCAATCACGACTTCCGCCGGGCCTTCAAGAAGATCCTCTGCCGGGGCGACAGGAAACGGATCGTGTGAGCGCCCGGTCCGCGACCCGCGAACAGACTGGCGCCCACTGCAGTCGGCGGGGATCGAGGGGCTCGTCTGTGCAGTCCCAGCGCACTGAAACCCGGGTCCTGCCTACTCGGTGTTTCCTGGCCAGGCCTTGCCCTGTGGCCTCCTGTGGGCCTCTGCTCTGCCCCCCACCCCGGCCCCCTCCCACCCCGGGAAAAGAACTGGCTGGGAGGGCCGCAGGCCCCCCAGTTGTTGTTAGGGCCCCTTGTGACTTGGCGCGATCTTCCTGGGTTCTTGGGAGTCCCCTAATTAGTATTGCTTCCTAAAGGTATTTTCACCTCCCCTGAGTCCAGCTGTCAATGCAGATCAGAGCAAGCAAGCACTGAACGGACCCCAGAGGGTACGGCTCCCAAAGGATTAACGGATGGGGGTTACTCAGCCCCAGCTAATTGCTCTCCCCCTTCCCCTAACTCTGTTTTTAAACAAATGCTCAGGGCAGCCCTGCCCATCCTCCCATCCCCCACTGTAAATATACACTATTTTTGATAGTACACGCTAGGGTCCCGGATGTCTGGGCTTTTGATGCTGTTGGAGATGCCTTTGAGGCAGACACATTGTCCTTCGGTTCAGGCCAAGCCCCTTTGCAATGCAAGCCCTTTTCTGGTGTCATTACCTCCTTCTGTGTCCTTTTCACCAGCAGCTGGTGACTGTCCCTGGGGCCTGGACCTGCTTTGAGATTTCCTGAGGGGGAAAAGATTTCTGTCCATTTTTTTCCTGTGCCTAACAGCATAATTGCCTTTTCCTATGTAAATATTACAAGGAGGGACCAAGACAGAAGTAAATGAACCTTTCTGCCTTGCAGCAGGCCTGTGTATAAAGCCATTATCCTCTGATGCACCCTTCACCCCAGTAACTCACTTTAAAAGTATCTCTTTCCTGGGTCCCTCCCTCCCTCTCTCTCACCTTCCCTCTCTCCAGGGCCACTGCTTGAAGAATATGTATGTTTCTATCTTGTATGTTTGTGCACCTGCCCCTCCTTCTCCAGAAGTGCTGACTGCAAGAAAATCTTTTAGCTGCTGTTTTTAGACGGAGGAGTGGAAATTATGTGGAAGAAGCAAACCTGATACAATTTGCCCAAGGTAAACAGTTTGAAAAGACAAATGAGCCTGCCAAACTGTACAGTTCCTGTCCCGGGAGCTCTTAGGTATCAAAGTGTTGTCCTTTCCCCCCTGCTTTTCTGGTTGAGATCATGTCATTGATGAACTCCCAAAATCAAGGGAAGAGGGCGGACACCTCGTGTTTACATCGGAGTTTCTACACGTTTTAGACAGAGACTCTTTAAGGCCTGCGCTCTTATTTCACTAAAGACAAACTAATGGCAGCACACGTTGCTAATGACAGTGGATTTTTTTTTAATAAAAAGTTTACAGATCAAATGTGAAATAAATATGAATTAAATGGTTCTGTCTGTTATCTGAGTTTCCAAAGCTTTACGGGAACATCCGAATATATATATATATATTTTTCAATTAAAAATTTTAAACAGTGCATTACATTATAAAACACTCACCTTTGAAAGTGCGAGCAATGGCAAGGCTACCATTTACCTACCAAGTGTTTTTTTTTTTTTTTAAGATTTGTTTTAGGGCGTGAGAGAGCGCGCGCATGCGTGCAATGAGGGGGGAGGGGCAGAGGGAGGGGGAGAGAAGCAGACTCCCAGCGAGCCGGAAGCAGAGCCCTTGCTGAGCCCATCGCAGGGCTCCAAGTGGAAGCAGAGGAGGGGCTCCACGAGGGGCTCAACTCCGGTTGGAGCTCACGACCCAGATATGACTCCAGAGGACATTAATGTGAAGCTTAACTGACTGAGCCCCCCAGGTGCCCTTTACCAGGTGTTTCTTGTGTGCTGCTGGCTATGGTGAGCCCATTATGGGCTCTGCTTCATTTAATCTCCCCACCAGGCCCTGTGAGGGAGGTACTGTTATCTCCTTTGTACAGGTGAGGAAACAATCTCAGAGGGCAAGTGATTTGCTGAAGGTTAACAACTGGTGGAAATGCATCATACCCAACTTTATCTGGTTCCAGGGTCTGCACTCTGAACCTCAGAACCTCACCAGAGTCACATTAACACTAGGGAATGCTCCCAGCAGGGAAGTCTCTACAGAGAGTGTGGTAGATACACAAAGTATGGGATATAGCCCAAGTGTGTAGCTCTACACAAAGTGTTACATGCTGCAAAGTGTCTGTATGCCCTGAAGTGTGTGTATACCCCAAAGTGTGGAATATACTTCAAAATGTGTATCACACCTTACAGTGTGATAATATGCAGCATGTGGTGTGTAGCTGAGTGTGGTCTATGCACAAAGTGTGGTAGAGACACCTGCATAGAACCGTGTATTGGTTGGTGGCTTGGACTGGCTCTGGCCGAAGGCAGGATCCTTCCTGTTGCATTCCTGTAGTATCAGTTTCCACTCTGCTGTCTAGGAGGGCTTAAGATCCTCGCCCTGTGGTTCTGGTTCTGTGACTTTGAAGCTGAAAGGGCTCTTAGAGATCCAGGAATCCAGCCCCTCTTCATCAAAGAGGAAGTGACTTGCGCAGGGTCCCCCAGCTCCAGGTGACAGGCTGCCTCGTTCAGTTTAGGAGCAGCTAAGGCAGGATGTGGAGTGGTTCTGCGCCCACGTATGATCAGATGTAGCCCTGACGAAAGAGCCACTTGTGGAGGAGCTGGGTTTGAGGGCAAAGGACTGGTGGTGGTTTGGGGAAGATGGACTTGTAAGGCCAGCCGCTTCTAACACATGTGCAGCCCGACTTTGGACGTCGCCCCAGAAGCAGGTCCCCAGCTCTCCCCGAGCTGTTTCTGTCCCCTCCAGGCAAGTACTAGCAGTGTCTCTTAGCTTCCTTAACTTCCTAGGGTTGGGGGTGAGGGTGAGTGCAGGGGTGGGAGAGTGAGCCCTGAGAAGCAATCTGGGGGCCCTGAGGGGCCTGGGTGAGGGAAGACAATGGTTCTGAGGGGTCTTCGTGAGAGGTGGGAAGTTCCTGCCCTGTCCTGTCATCTGAGCCTGCAGACAGAAGAGTGGGCGGCACTTGGCTCCTTGCCCAGGGGCTTCATGAGCCACGGCCTTTGGCACCAAGGCTGGCTGCCTGGTGTGGTCCTGGGCCCTGCTTCCCACCCCTGCCGGGCCTCTCTCTTCCCACTCTAGGGCACCTCTCGCCCCAAAGGCAAACAGTGCCAGACAATAGGCCACCCTGGCAAGCCCTCAGGCACTGGGCTGTGTGTCCCAGACAAAGGAGCAGATATAAACACTGTTGCTGTTGACTCTCTCTGTTCTGCTCCATCCGCTGGGGAGGGGCTTGCCTTGCCCTTGCCCCCAGCGGCCCTGCTCCTTGAGAAAGGGAGAAGTCTCAGCGATGGTGCCACACAGTGCGGGCCTCTGGTGTAGCCCCCCACCCCATTCCAGCCGCAGAGAAAACCTCAGAGATGGATGGGGCTGGGGAAGGTGGGGGAGCGAGGGCTGGAGCCCAGACTTGGGGGCTGGGTTTCTGAGTTCACAGGGGGCATCGCGGCTTGCTCATAGCTGTGGGCTCAAGCAACAGCCTGCAGAGGTCTGGGGGGTGGGGGGGAGTGAGGAGGAGAAATGGCTGGCATGTGAGGAGGAGAAATGGCCGGCAAGGGGATCTTAGCCTAAAGACCAAGAGATGAGTCTTACCCCACAGCTTCCTGTCCACATCTCCTCCTGAGGATGTAGGCCAGGAGAATCTGTCTTTGCAGCTGAACCTCCTCTTTTATGGAACTTTGGTTGAGGTATCAAAAGCCACTGGCTTTTGGGTCTGAAGTGTGTCTTGCCAGATTTACTCTGCGGAGGCACCTTGAGCTGGGGAGGGCTAGTGCCCCGTTTGAGCCTGGCCACAAGCACAGCCTTCTCCCCACAGTTGTCTCTGTTCAGTTTCTGCTGTGCTAAAGGGCTGGAGGGGAGAATGGGAAGCTCTTGGGCTCTCCCTCTCTGTGAGTCTATAATCGAATCAGAGTTCAAGAGCCAGAAATGCCCTCACACATCTTCGGCACCCCACATTGTGCTGTTCAGGGACCCGAGACCCTCACAGGCTAATGGATGGGGTGGCATCCCAGAGTCCCTCCAGAAGACGACTCCTCGTGGTTTCTCTGTCCTATGACGGATCTCCAGCATAATTCTATTTTGCTGTTGGATGAGGAAGTTGCCGATTAACCCCAGGACCTCTGTGCCTGCTGTGTGCCGGGCTGCAGGCCGGCACCGCAAGGCAGTTCTCCTCCTTCTGTGCATGCGCCCTGCAGAGCCTAGCACTTGTCCCTGCGGGAGGGAGCTGAAATTAGGGCCTGCCCTGCGCTTTGGAAGTCTCAAGGCCTCGTGGGGAGACAGGGTGTGCCTGCAGGAAGCCTTAGGCAGCCGTACCCCGTGCCCCGGTGACAGTGTGGCAGGGGGGCAGTGGGGGTGCCTGCCCACTGAGGGCATTGGGCATCTTTCTGGGCCATGAGTGTGCAGCGAGGGAGAGGTCACTGTGGCTGGGAGCTCAGGGGATAGGATGTGGGAGGCAGGGTGCCAGGACCTTGGCTGAGGGAGGAGGGGCGGGAGGAGAGCTCTAGTTTTAGCTCTGTGGAAGGCTTGCGCACCCAGGCCTAGGTCAGACCTCAGCTTTCATTTCTCCAACCCCATCCCTGGGGATGGCACGGTGAGCTCTTGTCCTATTTGGGTTTACCCGTCAGGGAGCCTACCTCCCCACCTCAAGTAGAGTAGCAGGATCCGGGTATCCAGGCCCCTGCCCTTGCGGGAGGCAGGACTACACATCAGGCCTGGCCCTCAGGCCTCGGCCCTGGGCCCTGCCACCCCTCATAGTGGACCTGGGAGTCTGGGGTGCAGGAAGGGGCTTCTTCCTCAGCAAACGGTGTGCCTGGGAGGGAAGCCACATGAAGTCACCAAGTACAATCACAAACACCAGGGTTAGTTTTGAAAATAGCATTGATCTCTTTGATTCCCAGAACTCCTGGGGATTAGAGTTAAATAAAAAAATGGAACAGGGCCTGTTGGAAGGGGTGTGAACCTGGACATTAGGAGGCCTGGGTTCTAGTCCCACCTTTGTCTTTTACTAGCTGTGTGACCTTGGGCAAAGCCCTTTCTGAGCCACTGTTTCTTATGAAAATGGTTGTTCTAGGTCAGTGTTATTTAAACGTGTGTTCCATGGAGTTTAACTTCAAAATCAATGTCAATCTCTCTCCCACTCTCTTCCTTCCTCTCTCACATATTTACCATCTGTCTCTCTGTCCATCTGTCTGCCTATCATCTATCACTGAAATACTGGGCAAAATGACCTTTAGCAGGAACCTTTTCTTCAGGACCTCACAGAGCCTTGGGATTCTCTGAGAGGGGATAATATGGCGGGCTATGTTTCCCCAACTCCCTGGACTGCAGAATTTTATTTTTCATAGAGCAGCTCAGGGAATCATGTTTGCTGGAACACTTGTTGGGTAGTGTTGGGCTAAGAAATCTCACTGGGCTTTTCTGTTGATCTGTTTTAAGATTTTATGAAATGCTGGCTCTGCTTTCTCCTTCCGTCCCTGTTTTAGGTGAGCCACTCTGCGCAGGGCCAAGCCAGATGTGTCCTTGGGGATAGCTGGCTAGAAGACTCATGAGCCTTACTGAAACTTGGGGTGGAAGTGAGAGTTTGGTGTATTTTTTCAAATGTGGGCTCTACCTTTACGTGTGTGTGTACATGTGAATAAGTGTTCATACTTATGCATGTATGTATGCATACATGTGTGAAGGGCTATGTGTACGTGTGTGAGAGTGTATGTGGAAGTGTATGTGTGTGCACATGTCTCTCTGTGTGTGAACGGGTTCAAAACCTCTTTCACGGGGATATTTTGCTCACCAGGACCTGGGGTGCAAGCATCAGGGGAGGTGAGGGCAAACGTGTGTGTCACAGAATTAAAGGGGAGTGTAGTGTTGTGTCATTGATTTTCATTACAGTTGGCCCCTCTCCAACTTGTGCTTTGGCTCCTCCTCCTCACCCCCATTGCTGGAACCCCCGTTCCCTACCACGGTAATGGAGCTGAGCTGGAAGGAGGACGGGTTGATGGAGTGTAGACATTCTGGAGAGGTCAACATCGGTTCTCTAGCAGGTGTGTTCTTTAGCAGCAGCTCTCCATGGAAGAGGGAATTTATGTGAATACAGAGAGTTCAGGAGGGTCTGGGAGGCCAAGCTGGCCTTTAAGGCTCTCTCCAAATGTTCAAGTGTGGGGACTTGGGGCTTCTCTGGAATTTGTATCTGAGAAAAACAAGATGGCGCACTGAGAAGTCGAGTAAAGAGAGACTCAAAGAAGGCGGGTAAAGAGAGACTAAAAGGGGGCTATTTACAAGGTGCAGGCAAGCTGAAGGGGAGCCCACAAGTGGTGGTGAAGCCCCTTGGGAGTGCAC